CGGGAACGGATTCAATGGAATTGTAATAGATAAGCATAAGCATGATATCGGGGGTGGGAGAGCAATAGATGGGGGGAGGGGGGTTGTTACTTTGTGAGGGTGAAAAGGGTAACTATTGCATTGTTTTGTACACCTGAAACTAACAATAAAAAAAATAAATAAAATGCAAAAAAAAACCAAAAAAAACTGTATGGTTCATCTCAGCTTATAACTACCCAGGCAAACTCTGTGGATAGCCAGTGATGACTCACACCAGTTAAAGTAGAGATAAGTCTCAATAGTGAATGAATGTCTTATTAAACTATCAGCAAATATTAAAAGTTATTCTTGAAAAGGGGTACATTTTATTTTTTAAAAAACTGTAATGAGGTAATAGTAATATGAATTGAACACAACTCTCTATTGCCCTTCCCCAAGTATAATTTAAAAGACAAAGTGTGGTTATAGGGATAGGGTGTGCTAACTGCCTTTTAAATAAGTAGGAATGAAAATGTTCTCTTCCATGTTTGAATTGTGCAGCTATAAAACTGCAGATTACTTTAAATTCATCCTTAAAACACACACACACACAAACTCACACACTCACAGTCACACTCTCTATTTCTCTCAGATTAATTTTAAAGATACAATCTAACTGATTTAGAAGAAGCCATAATTAAGCAATGCTATAAAAATTTTAAGTTGAAAGATGAAAGCATCACACACATAGAAATAAAAAAAATGTAATTGTATTAATGTCAATAATAGATACAATGGAATTGAAAGCAAAAAGATAGGGAGCATAGGTGACCACATTATATTTATAAACAGTAAATAAGTATTCTGCCATTGCCTTGAAATCTTAGCAGCTCTTACTGGACTTGGAGTACTGCTCTTTAAATACAAAAAAGTGTAGATGTGTGCATACATACTGACACAGACTCAGCGCTAGAGCCTTCCCAAGGAGAACTTTCACATCTAGTTCATTCTAATTTTAAATGTTACTTATTTTATTTCTTCAAGTTTTCTGGACCTTCCTTATTTTACCTAGGATTGGATATTTGACTTCTCTTTGTTGTTCTCTTCTGTGTGTGGGAAAAAAAATGGGTGTGGTCATAGGAGGTAATTGTTATTAAATGTTTATTTTTTAAATGTATTTATGAGCTTGATCATTTGGCTTTTTGATAAATAATAAGAAAGGTGTATTAGAGTTCTTTTTCTCATGCAACAAAAA